CTTGCAGGTATAGACACAAAACATAATTATGCATATACACACTTTAATTATTTCATACCCTTAAAACGGGAAAAGGCTATATTAAAAAGATAACTTTCTTTAAAAAAATTGAAGCATTATTTGTTGTGGGGTTTTTTTTTCTATATTTAAAGGATGCTCTTTAAAGGTTCCAGGACTGTAAAAGAGTCTTTGACTTTTCTGTCTCTTCCTGTCTTTGCTTTCCACAGCTGGGAGAAAAATCTAAGGGCTTTAAATAAGTTTAAATATGAAAGTCAAAAAATGGCTTTGAAAATAAGCTGTGAAGGAACACTCTGTATTTGAACTCCACAGAGAAAATTAAAATCAAGGGAAAATGTAGAGCTGAAACTGTAATACATCAAATTTTTACATGTATTTATATATATATATATTTCAATCAGAGGACTCAATGTCTTACAGATTTCAATGGGACTTTTGTTTGTGTAAAGATGGAAGAACAGAGCTCTGTTTCACCATGGCTCTGTGCTTTGTCTGCTATCTCCAGTACCCAAATTTTTACTCCAAACTGGTAGGACACCCATCTCACAGAGCAGCTGAGCTTGTGTAGGATGGGAGCATTCTCCTTTGTGCGGCACCACCAGTGCCTAAATCCCAGGTTTGCTAAAATCAGTGGCAAAACTGCTCTGAGAGAGTTTGCTTCTCACTGCCAGGCACACATGGCCACCTTGCTGACCCCCAGCACCCTGCCAAGGCCCCTGCCATGTAAGATTAGTTGTGCTTGTGCTCACAGGGTCTGTGCCTTGGTGGGTTTTCTCACCTAGGGATGAGACTGCTCTTGCCACAGCCTGAGCTGTCTTCGGGCTGGTTTCCATCATCAGCCCCCAGAAGCAGGCTGAAATGAGCAGGGCTGAAGCTGAGCGGACATATACCAACGTCAGGTGGCATCCCCCAGTGACTGCTTTTTCCTCCTCACAACTTATCTGCTGACAGCTGCTTGAAGCTCTCTGTGGCAGGTTCATCATTCACAACCACACCAAGGTGAGTCTTTCCTAGAAAAACCTGGTGAACACCAGTCCCCAACCCTGCATGTTCCATGTCCTTCAGCACAAAGTACAACATCCCACAGCACAGAAGCACTCCCCTGCAAACAGCCCTAACTCAGCTACAAATGACAAACACACTCCGCAGGTTTTCTACCATATTTATGTAGCCTGCTTCTTCTAGCCACCGAGTTTTAAAATATAGCCCATCACTACAACATCTATGACACAAGACTAGACTTGGTGCTTGCTGCAGATCCAGTGCAGTGCTCTCCTTTGGGGTCAAGGAAAATAATTTATGGACAACAAAAGATTGGACAGAAATTAAAGGAACAGATAATGTTTCCTAGTAACTCACAGGCAGAAGAAGGTAATCCCTGCCACCTTTACTATTGTGGTTTCTAGGTGCAATGAGGAGGATGGCTGGAAAGAGTCTATTTTAACAACAGTACTCACCAGCCAGAGAGAGGAGAAAATTGTTGAAGCTTCAGTCAGCTTTCTCTGTTGCATGCACAGGGCTCCAGGGGACACAGCAACAAATGTGGAATCACAAAATATTCTTTTCCTCTCTGTTTCTTCTCCAGAATCTCTCCAGCCTCAAAGAAACCTCTTGTTTCCATGCCATGGCTTTGCCTCCAGGAACAAACACAGTACCCACCTGCATAAACCATGGTGGACTCCTCTGCTCACCAGGACCCTGTGGATGCCAAGTGCCTAATTGCAGTATTTTTCCTCTTTTGTAAAGGCAATTCTTGTTCTACCTGGATTAACTTTCAGAGAAGGTGCGGGACCTCCTTTCTATCCTTGTCTGTATCTCCTCCAATCCTAGACAGACCATGGCAGTGCCTTTTGCTTTTGATTAAAAGAGCTTTAGGTATCCATTAAATGGCACTGACCCTGTTTTTATCATCTGGCCCCACTGGTAAAGCTCTCTTTTGGGAGGCAGCATCCCTCAGTGGAGCTACTGTAGCAGCCTTGCATCACCGGAGAGAATAATTCTCCAGAATAAAAGCTAAATGATGGAGCAAGACAGAGTGGGTGTCTGTGTACATAAACATTAGAATTTGTTTACTAATGCAAACAGCTCTCAGGGTGAGAGGAAAATAGCATAAATATTCAGTTAAACATTTATCTCAGTTAAACATTTATGCAGGATTTACATATGATGACATACACAGAGGTGGTGTTTGCACGGGTGACACTATTGGAAGTGTTGGATTTTTTAGGAATGCTTTCCCGGAGCATTTTTCTTGCCAGCAGAATTTTTAGTGAAACTGTGCAAGCATAACAGATCTATCATTCACATACAGAGCTGTGCAATTTTTCTTCCTTCTAAAGAACAGCTTCTTCCTGTATTTACAAGATATTAATACGAGGAGGTCCTATTCCTGACACTTGGATATAGCTTCTCAGGTTTCCCATATGGGTTCAGATCTCTGCTGATGTAACCCAGTGAGGTCAGCACATAAAATTGGAGGGTAGTTAGCAGGTTAACATCCTTTTCTTTAAACAACAAAGATGCTTCTTCTATTTACATATTCCCCTAGAAATGTAACCCCCAAAGCCAAGGATTCCCTTAGAGCACTTACTGCTGCTATTACAGCACTCTGCTAAGGGCTGAGAATGGAAACCTCAAATTAACCAGAAGACCTGGTTAACCCAAAAAATCCCCAAAAAAGTTTGAATATTACTTCTCTCAATTGAACTGAGATGTAAATTAGATAAATAATACAATTATCAAAACACAGAGCAGAATTCAAAAAGGGCCTCATCTTTACTAACTTATATTTTACTTACATGAAGGTGTTCTGATAGACAGGATATTTTGCCCAGAGCCTGGGGTAGGATACTTCAGGAAAGTTAGGTCCCATGTCAGTCACATGCTTGAGGATTGTACATTCCAGGTGGGCATTTTTCTCATCAGCTGTGAAAGTCACCTGCATAACTGAATTTACAGGTCTGAAAATCAGGGCCTGATTCTGCTGCATAACCAACCTCCAGTCTCGCAAATTTATGATGCAAGGATTCAAAAAAAACATTTGTGGGATAAGTTTACCATGACAACCTGAGATGCCTTTACATACCTTCTCATGCCTGAGTCCTAAGGGACCCCTTTTTCATTCCCATCCACAGGTAGAGGGAGAAACTCCTCCCCTCTTTTCTTTCTGACAAGGACAACTGAAATGCATCAGGCCTCTCATGACTCCAGGAGCTACAGCTGTAAAAAAAAATGCACAATTGAGTGCACACACTGAAACCATGAGGTCATTGTGAGAAGAGCCATTTTTTCTGGTCCAACTGCAATTAATTGGAACATTGCTACTGTTTTCCAAGGCCAGCAGGACTGCCTTTTCCTGCCTGCTGAGCTCTGTGGCAGGTGAGTTTCAGTGGGATGAGTTCCAATTTAACAGGGAGAAAAAAAAAAAAAAAAAAGAAAAAGAAAAAGAAAAAGAAAAAGAAAAGCCCAGACAACAAACTGTTCCTATATTTCTCTCAAAATGAAAATATACATCATATAGAAAACAAAAAGGTAATACAAAGAAACTTGGCTACCTTCCACTCCTAGGAGATGCTAGAAAGCCATTTGATACTATATTTTAAAATACCATTTATACTAGCACTGGCTACCTTAGTTGTAGGACCCCATGATGGATGGATGTTTTTTCTCTCATTGAAAAGCATCCATTTCCTCTCTTAGGCCACAAACATAAATATAGAAATAGATCATTCTGAATTGGTCTGTTAACGATTATTTATTTAATGGCTAACCACAGTGTCGAGCTACTAATACATAATTTAAATGTCTCACAAATACAGCACTTAGTTTTCAATTCATTCTCTGTACATATTCAATAAACTGAGCATGTGAAAATAATAAAGGAAGTGAGGCCTCAGTTATTAATTCTGACAGGGTTCACAGTCCTTCTAAATGTGTCTTTATGTTACTTTAGCTTGCATTTGAACATAATTATCGTGACAGACATGGCTTCAACTGAGCCAACAGAGCTTTAAAACAAATACTGGAAGCTGCTTGCTCAATGTCGATGCAAGGTCTGAGTCCTGATCAGGCAAACATCCCTATTTCCCTCAATAACCCCAGTCCTGGCATGGCCTGGCAGGCTGAGGGTTCTTTGTTAGCCAGGGTGAGGCTCACCAAAAATGTCTGCAGGAAATAAACACCCAACCTTGAAATTCAGATTTTGTCATGCCTCCACTTCTTCTTCCAAAGCCAATCTGGATCTGGGGCCTATTTGTCCTTTGTACAGGGGTGAATGTCCCTGCTGTGCCCCACCCCCAGAGGAGCAGGACAATTTTTCAGATTTCCTGCTGGAATCCCACAGGACCATCTGTGTGGCCTGCTCTGCACAGTTTCAGTAGTTACGCTAAAACTCTCTGTATGTGAAAACATTGCAGCCCACACACACTTACACTAATTTAGGCTTTACCAGGAGATCCATTTCATATTGCAATTAAAAACTACTCTAGCATACAGCAGTTTAAGAAAGAATGCACCTTTAACACTTAAATATACTGTATCATGCTGTAGGAAGCCAGGTCTTCAATGAAATCTAGTCTGCTTTGATTAATAATTGATTTTTGCACAGGAAAGGAAAAAAATCCCAAAGACACTCTTCCTATTGATCTGAAAGACTCAAATAAATGAAACAGATTCCAACTTTTACCTATGTTTGTTAACTATTGATAAAATGGCAGTACTAAGCAGAGGCAGTCATAGGTACAAATGTAAGAATGATGATAGAGTTTTAAACTGCATCTGGTTCAACTTCTTGAAAACCTTATTTGATGCTGAACAACCAGAAAACCTGTGTATACTGACAGTACAAGGTTAGGCATATCTTCCATACGTATTGCGATGTATGTTAACATACAAGAAGTAGTGGAAATTGTGCAGGCACTTAAATGACAGAAAGATAAAGATTTGGGGTCAGATCTTGGGCTGGGAAAAGAAGTAGTTTAAAAAGTACAGTTCATTAGTCTGACCTCTATCATGTACACCTTTTTCAAACAGATATTGGAGAAAATAATACTCAAGATGCAGAAACAAAAGGAGGCCAAAAGGCAATGTGGTTTTAGGAAAGGCAGATCACATTAGACTAAACTTGTCTTGATCAGAGAAAAGTGGTAGATGTAATCTTTGGGCTTTGCTTACATTTGAATTAGGCCCACATGGAAAGTTATCTGTGGAGCTGGAGAAGACGTGGGTTGTTTTTTGTTAGTGGTGTGATGCGATACATTTGCTTGTCTGTTTTTTAATTTACTGCCATTGCTCCAGTTCACTCCAACAGGGGACTAGTCCTCTTCGAATTTCAACAACTTTCACTGAGTTTGTAGGCTAGAACTCTGAGCACTGATAGAGGTTTTTCTTCAGTTGGAAGCTGCCATGGCTTCTCCTGTGGCTGACAGCAAAGCCAGCAGGATCTCAGCAGCACCTCGGGCTCAATATCACCCAAAGTGTACAAACCTGGGGAGCTGCTGGAAGATTTGCCTGAGTAAGAAGCAGAAGTCTGCTCCATTTGATCTGTGGGAGAAGTTTGAGAGCCAAGGTGAGGGGATTCTAATAAACCAGCAAGGATGCACTGGGAGGGCATTTCCCAGCAATGAATATTTGATTAGAAGAGCTGAGACGCAGAGGCAATCTATAAAATAAGACTGATGAGTCATTGACTCTCAGTCTGTGCCTTCCTGTGCATCAATGTTTCTACTGGAAGCTCACAAAATTAAAAATATTAATGAGTCAGATTTGGCCCCAGAAGTTTTGAAAAAAAGTTGTGGAGTTATTTCCACAAAATAATTTTATCTTTCCTGCTACATTTAGCTAGTAGCAAGTACTGCTGTTCTCCAGTGTTTCTAGTCCCATTGCTTCTTCCCAGGTTTAAATTCCCCTTTCAGACCAAATGGCCTGTATTTGAGAATGGCTCATTTAGCATACATGAACATTTATAAAAATGCCACTGAACACAATTCTCCCTAGCAGGACTACAAAAAGGAGCAAGTCTCATATGAGAAACATTACGTACTGTCAGAGGGAGAACAAGTCAAGATGTAGAGTGACATCAACAAATCAATCTAGCCAGAAGCACAGCCCCTTCAAGGCTCTTTTTCCTTGCATTTCTATGTCAGGCTCATGCCTACTGTAACACATCAATGGTAAAAAGTGAAACAGAAAGCAGATTTAAGTATATAAGACTAGTTTGGTATATGAAAAACAGTTAAAGTTAGCATTGCTCAATTGAGAAGTGAATACATTTCACTTTTATTTACTTTTTATTATAGCATTGCATGGGACAAAGCTGAAGAAAAAAAGCAGTAGTTTCCATTCACCAGAGAGATCATTGGGAAAGATATTCCAATACTGATAAGTTAAATGTCTGAAGATTATCATGTTTTGACACACTGTGTTTCCTTTTATGTTGGATGATTTCAGCCTGCCATTTTACACCTAAGAAATTATTCTGGATGGAGATGCCTGGGCATGCACAGGTCACTCCTTGAATGACTGATATGAAAACTGCCAGGCTGTGCTTTGGTTTTGTGGAGTTGGTAAGTCTGTTAAATCCAGTGATTTCCTACATGATTATGAATAAGGATTTTAGACTAGAATCTGTGTCTATGCCTATAGCAGGGCAGGTATGAGGGCTGTTGCACAGTCATCACCACCCTGCAAATACAGTTACAATGAATAAATTAATCCAGTGACATCAAAATCCATTAGCATTTTATGCTGACTTTAGTACAGACAGGATCAGAATCTGTAACCTTACTGCTTATAACCTACCTTACAAAATAAAGAGTTACAAAAAATGAATTAAATCAGTGATGAAACTCCTATGACTCCGGAGGCTTGGGAACAAACCTCTAGTGTGAAAAGCCAGCAGGATACCTTCTGCAGGAAAAACTAAGCAGAACTGCTTTTCACTCAGTAAGCAGTAGAAAAGCAACAGCTACTAGACAGCCTCTAAGAAGCTGAGTGTACAATTGAATCAATACTTTCAGTTTTACACTCTTACACAGGCAGTGGATAGAAAAGTTTATATTCCAGTCATGATATCTGATGGCTCAACAACAAAGAAAAATGAAAAAAAAAAGTTAAAGAAAAATGAAAAAAAAACCCAGAGGCATTTAAAAATCCATTGGGTTACAGTGGGTACCTTGCCTTTGTGTAGGAAATGCTTCTACTAGAGAGACTTTAGCAAAATTAATTAGGTCACCAGAAAGGTTTACAGGCTACATTCAGTGAGATAGCAATTTTCTTGAAGCAGTCTCTTGAAATAGCTAGCTAAACTCTATAAAGAAAAATCCCTTGCTGGGTACATTCCTGCAGATTAAACACACTGGGTAGAAGTAAATGCATTTAAAAAATTAAAATCAGTCTTCTTGCAAACAGTGAATGAAGAAAGTCCACCCATGCTACAATCCAAACTTTAAGCATGTGCAGAAGTGCTGTTTATGTCACTGAGAAGCAAGTCTGCCCTTTGAGCAGTTCAAGCCTTTCAGAGAACAGGCCATCCAGTGACAGTAGGACTTGCCCTCTGGAGACAGGTAACCTGTGCCTCTACACCACTTCTGGCTCAATGCAGGGTAGAGGAGGCTGTGGCACCCTTGGGCTGCTGCAGACTGCAGGAAACAATGTGGGACTCAGATTACAGCCACTGCTCGCTGCTAGTGAGCAAAAAACAAGGGATTTTTGTCTTGCTTATCCTATATTATGTACAATTAAGACTGGTGGTAAATTATCTGGCTGCATGTCTACTGGTGATTGAGGGGTTACAGCAGCAACCCAGCAGTGCCCTTAAACACATGCTTCGATTTGTCTCTAGTAAATCATACACCTGTTCTGCTGCACCCCACACGCTGTTCTGCACTTTTCTACAAACCCCTCTGCCAGGTGAATGAACTCCTTCTGTTAAGAACACTGCATTCAGAAACAATGGCTTAGATGGGACTGCTCTTCCTATGGGCTCTCAGAGAGAAGGACCAAGTAGGGCCAGCCCAGAGGAGATGAGAGTGTAGCAGAAAGTAAATACTGTGCACAAGAGCAAAGGGGGTGGTACATTGTGGACCTCATTTTCTGAGTCTGAGAGAGTTTTCAACCTGTCAGTGAAAATTCCTCTTCCCAAGGGAAAGTTTCTTGAGAACATTTCTCTCTCAAGGACTGTTTTTGTAAATAATTTTAGTTCTCAAAAC